TGTGTGTGTGTGTGTGTGTGTGTGTGTGTGTGTGTGTGTCTTTTTGTGTCAGTAATGAATGTGGGCCGGTCTGGGAACAATGTGGCCCGTTGGTCGCCATAGGGACCACTGCCCCCGCCTCTCTCCTCAGTGGGAGTGGTGGTGGCTGCGGGTTAGTCACTGTATTGAAATGAGGGGATGCTATTTCTTCTTTTTCCCCTTTGTGCTCTTAGCGTTGCACCGTCTTCAGCTTTTGGAAGACTGAAGATGGAAATACAGAAAGAAAAGAAAATGAAAGAAAGGAAAAATATAACAGGCTTACTGGCTGTAGAAAGTTGTGAGGGAATTAGAAAATTTGAATTGATTAAAATTACCATGACGGAAGTTGTTTGAGGAAGAAGTCAAATTGATTTGAGGTTTTCTTTTGGTTTCCCCAGCGCTTCACTGCTATAGTGTCACTTGCAGGCACGACAGCTATGACAAGTAGCGCTATCATGGTTGGACGCCACTAACTTGCCATGGGGTTTGTTTCCATAGTGACTCACCCCCCACACCACCACCCTTCACAGTTGAAGAATGGAACTGTCACAAAAGAAAAAAAGAGGGAGATAACAATGCACATCATTTACAATCATTTCTTGGATACTAGAGATGGAGACAGCATAAACAGACGCAGACACGGAGAGTGTGTGTGTGTGTGTGTGTGTGTTTGTGTGAGCTGACAGCTAATCCCCTCATCAACCTCCTCTGATATGCAACTTATTGAGTTTTATACATGGCAGACTCCACAGATGATGATGACTCCCTCCTTTTAATTTGAGTTTGTTCCCCTCCACTTGTGCTTGCATTAACTCTGTGTGGCCTCGTGGCAGTCGCTGTGTCTTTTGGCGGCCTTGGAGAGTGTGCGTTTGGCGTGGAGAGGGCTCAGCGATCATCCACAGGGGTTGGATGGTGAGTAGAGTGGGTCTTTTTAGACCGCTCACCCTGCCCCCCTCTCCCTCTCTCCCTCACACAGACAGGTTATCCTGTTAGAGAGAGGAGAGAAAAGTTCTCCAGTGGCAACAGAAAGAATGTGCCATGCTGTGACCGACTGAACCGCTCCGGCTCTGGAATTAACAGAGCTTTGCGCAGCCGAGAGGCTAAAGAGCAAATACAGTGCTGCGGAGGAATTTATTGGTACTTATTGTGTTGAAGGACAGATGCAGCCTGGTTCTGACCAGTGTACTGAGGCAGGTTTTTGCTGTGATTTATGTGACAGCCGCCGTGTTAGTCGCCCCTCTGGGTGCGCTGCCAGTTTCCTGCTATCTGTAAAGTTAGTGACGCCTGATGCAAACTGCACCTTTGTTGGACAAAGTTTCCATTCAACTGCAGCTCCAAGGTGCACAGCGCAGAGTTTTTCAACAAATTCACATTGCTCCTTGCCGAGTTGCAATCAGGCATAAATGTGTGGGCCCTCGTTAACCATTTCCCGGGTGGAAAGATGTAAGGGAAGGGGGGAGGATAACCCCATCTGTGATTAGTATGGCTCTCTTGACTAATAGGATTGGAGTCAACAAGCTTGAGTTGTTCCTCGGATGGCGAGTGTGGCCCAATGGGCACGCTGCGTTAAGTGTGCTCCCAGCTCAGGCTGTGACGGGCAGCGCGCTCAGCCAACTGTTGCATGGCGGGGATGTAGTTTGGTCAAAGTGGATTGCCCTGATTTCGTAAACCTCTCTCCGAATTACGTTCAGCTTCTTCCCTGTTACCTTGCTGTGAGTGCAGAGAGGGCAGGCCACTCTTTTAAACAGCAGCACCTTCAAGTGACTTTATACATGATAAAGTGTTGCTTCAAGTCACAGATCCCCGCTCCACACAGTTTATGACACATGAAAATACTCTGGAGTGATGACTTGTGTGGTATGTGGTTTTTATTTCAGCAAGACCTTCAATAAGAATTCTCAAAATGGCTGCCACTTCTTGTCCCTCATGAAAAATCCCTGAATTGGTGAAATACAGAGATTTTTATGTTTCAATAGTCAATTTAGACCTTCGCCACGGCCCTAAAGTCTTTTTAAAGATAGGGTTGGTAATCCTGGAAAACCAAGCAACCAATGCGTCCCACCCTCCCATGTCGTCAACGCTACACCCCTAAAGAACATGAACCCACACTGCCTGACTCGCATGCTAACGTCTGACTGTCGAAGTGGTTTATGTCTCTGCGGCTGAAAGCGTCAGTCCTGTGTAGTTAGAGCACAGACAGGGTGCATGCAGGCAGGCAGGTCAGTTAAGCTGCTTTCAGACATGCACTGAACTCTGCAGTTCCTCCGTTTCTTCTCCGGAGGACGTGCATGTGTGAATGCAAATGTCTGAGTGAAGCGCTGCACAGTTTCTGCGGTCTATCTCTGCCTGGCTTCTAACGCGCGACAGGTGCAAAAAAAACACTTTATTTTTTGATAGCTATCAGGCCGTGAAAAGGATTTCAATAAATAAGTGTTTTTAATGACCCTTGGTTTTAGTTCTGTGAGCTGTTCAGTTGAGTTGAAGCGGGAATCTAGAGTATCTGACTTCACGTCGCTCGCCAGCACCATAACCTCTTTGAAAAAACGCTTTGTCACGCAAACGCAATGAATCCTGTGGATAGGTTCAGCTGGCAGGGATCCACCCATCGGAGCCTTTGTTTCTCGGGGGTCATTTGTCGGCCGTTTTTTGGAGGAGTCTTCGAAATGAGACAATTTAGTCGCACAACTGTGACGCAGTTTGGTCTATGATGCAGTCCCTGAAGGAAGCAGCTCCTGAATTGAGTCACAGCTATTGTTAAAAAAGTGAAAGCACTCCCAGATCCCCTACCATCTTGGCACATGGTTCATCCTTCCACCAGGTTTCATGCAAATCTGTTCAATAAATTTTGTGTAATCCTGCTGACAAACTAACCTCAAAGAAAACTAAATAAACCAACGGGAAAAAACTCTGTGGCAGAGGTAATAACTGCTCGACACAAAATGTTTCCTTCACTGTTTAAAAATAAAAGATCATTCCCAGTACATGCGTTGGAGTTGTCTCATAACACTAGTGTGAGTTGGATATTGGACCACGACTGGCTGACAAACAAATCCTGCCTGTACATCGTCTCACACTGAGATTATAGGTGAATACCAACATCCAAGTGACAGTGAGGGTTTTGGGAGATGGGGGTCACTTTAAATACAACACTGCTATGATCAACATTTTTGAAACGAAGCGATTTCCTTTCTACAGCAAATGTACCTGTTTAACGTCCACAGTTTCCTCCCCCCAACGAATGTGCTGTGTGCTGCCATGTGTTTGATTTTGTTTGTGTGTGTGTGTCTTGTTTGTTTTTGAATGTGCACAGGAGTGTTGGACATCAGGAGGGTTGGTGACCGGAGGTGACTATCAGAGTAGTCTAGCCACTATAGAAACTAAACAGTAGACTCTGCATCTGATCCTCCAGTGTTAGCCTATAGTCTTCTCACTCTGCTCTCTAGAAAAATTAAAGAGGAAAAAAAGTGAAACATTGCGGTGATGTCGCCTCTTGTTAGAATCAACACTGTTACCCTTTACTCTGGTAAACGCATGTGGTTTACCATAGAGGCTCTAGCTCTTTACTGTAGTTCAACTCTACCGTCTCATGGTTGCGGACTAATCTTAGCGCTGTACTGTCTCACCATCTGTTAGTGTAACAGCAGTACAGTGTGGAGTAGTCTAGTTGTTCTCTAGCTCTATTAGATCAGTATAGACTAATATAGAGGTCTCAAATTCCAGTTTTACAGCCTGTCTATGATTGCATTCTTATGGCATGATGTGGTTCTCTCTCCAATCTTAACCTTGGTGACATTCAGTGGGCCCAGCCACTTATGTGTCGATTCTATTTGTTTTTTGATAGCTGTAGTGATAAGATTGATATCAGAAGATTTATACTGCAAAAGAAAAGGTAAAGTTGTGTCCTTTTCAAAGCCTGTCCAGGATGTATATGTGAGGAACTGCAGGGCAGGGGACGACCCAGGTTGCCTGAGGGCGTGCACGGGAAGACGAGCGGTCCCCGTTGTTGTCATCACTTCCGTCCAAAAGCTGAGGGAGGCAAAAACAAACAAACACAAACAAACAAAATTGGGTGGATCTGCCGTCAGTGTGGGTGTGATTGACAGCTCCCTCTCCTCCCCCGTCCTGCTCCGCCCCCCCCCTCACCCTCTTACCTCCTCGTCCCTCTCTCACTCTCTGTCTGACACGCTCGTCCTCGCTCTCGGACTCTCCGCGCCGAGATGAGGTGTGTTTGTGATTGTAGTGCCGGTGTGAGATTCCAGGAGTACACATGTCACATGGCAGTGACGAGAGAGGCAGGGGTTCACTGGACATTCCCAGGCATTCCACCTGCGCCCACACACACACACACACACACACACACACACACACACACACAGAGACTTACATGTTTAAGTACTCTACCTCAGACACTGGAATATAATCCCATGCGAGAATGCTCCAAAAAAGTGGATTAATAATACAAACACGCATTCACGTAGATCATAAATGCAGAAACACACACATTGACAATAACCTGACTCGTGTTGTAGAGCAACACACACAAAATGTTCCTCCTTTTCTTTATTCTAATTACTGCTGAATTATCATCATTATTATAAAATTTTTCAAATGAATCAACAGAAATTGGATAATCTATTGAAAAATCAAACAACACTGAGCAACATTCACAGGTTTCAGCTTCTCAAATATGAGAGTCAGAGTGTCATCATGTACCTTTGAATTTTGCTCTGGTGGTCGAATAAGAGAAGCATTAACAGTTAGTGCTTCCTTTGTCAAACCAAATAGAGCAGTTTTATAGCCTCATGATAGATGAGTCAACTGAGGAAATAATTAAAAAAATGAAGCTGAAGAGATGAGATGATTTGGTGATTAAAAGGATGATTAGCTGGTTCCATATATGGTCATATAAATTCTGAGGTAAACTTTTAAAAAGCGATCGTCGGAGCTAGGTATAATCTTTTAAATAATGCTCTCTAGGGTGGCAATCAGTAGAACGCATGCCTCCACCAAGGCCCAACAGTCCCCTTATGAAACCACATTTAAATTCACTAGATCCACTGGATCTGCACACGCTCATAAATATCAGTCTCCTAAATATGCCTGATTTGTTTCAAGATCCATGAATTATTCTCTGGAAAATCAAGAAAATATCAAAATAACGCCCTTTCCTGCAATCTCAAAGAACATGAAAGGAACTTCTGCTCCTGATCTTTATCTGCACTAAAATGTAATGAGTTTTTCCCTGACTAATACTGCATCTTCCCACCAGGTTTCATGGTAATCCGTCCAGTAGTTTTTGCTTAATCTTGTTTACAAACCAACAAACAAATCCTCAGGGGTGAAAACCTCCTTGGTGCTTTGATAAGCAGCCTTAATGACATCATCTACTGCTACATCACTGTTCACCCACACTGGTATAACTGACACACACACACATTCATTCAGCAGTCGTGTGTTCAGACCTGGATGTAGGTGTTCGATCAGTTGTCTGAAGCAGGTGATAATGACAAAACCTCACCATCTTTTCACCTCAAAATGTATTGATTTATTTGACAACACACTCACTACCTTGGATGTCAACTTCATCTCGATTTTTCTTTCCCAAATATAAGCGGTGTCTGTTTCTGTTTATCGGCACAGGGAAGTGTGGGTATGATGAGCCTTAAAAACCAGGTGTCTTTGACATTGCTGCTGTGATTCAGGACTGGTGTTAATGTTGCACTAGGCCAACAGGAGGATGACATGGATATATTACACCCTCATTGATGAGTCATCATGAGAGATGAAGGTGTGATGTCAGAGCACACAGAGGAAAGGTTGCTGATGCGTCTGCGTCATGACACAACACTAACCAGTCGTCTCCCTCTCTGTATCCTCTCCTGCAGATCGATCCGAAGGTTGCGTTCCCTCGCAGAGCCCAGCCCAAGGTGAGTGGATCTGTCTCCTCAGGTTAAGTTGTGTGCGCCTTGTTTTGCAGCGGGTTAGGCTAATGCCTCGTAATCTGATGAACATGAGCGGCGCTGACATCACCGGGCCGCTGTGCGATTGTGTGCAAACAAAAACGTTTCACAAATTTAGAAACACACAAGTATTGTTAAACCCACCTGAACGTCTGGATTGTGTTTCAAGTACGCTCTGTCCTGATCTGAAGCAGCTCGTCTTCTCTATTCACAACAACTGGTTGGGAAACCTGGCTGTGTGAGGCCAGCAGCACAAATAAACACTGGTACGAGGAGAAAAAAACATATAACAACATTTACTTTGATACAACAGATCTGCTGAAATGGCTGTGTCATAGGTTTTGTGCATTGGTTTAGGGATTTCTGTGCTCTTGTGAATGCATCTGAGCTGAGAATATCCTGCTGCGTTCTTCATGTTTGAAATGCAAACGCCAGAGAAAGTCTGAACCCGATTCTGTGGACAATCATGTCTGAAAACAACTCAAGTAACGAATCCATGTGAAAAAAACGTGTGTTAATTCATAGCTTCTACTATAACATACTAGTAACATTAGTAAATAATTTGTTTCATAGTGTAAATGTATTATAATGTAACTTTGGCACACGTTTAAATCCACCTGTTTCTGTCCTCATTGCTAAATGAAAGTGTTCTCTGCTGACTGACTTAAAGCTGACAGACTTACAGCAGCACGGACTAAACCCTGTTCTGTTAAATGCTGTCTTCCACTTCATGTGACGGAGCAAACTACTTTTTTCTTCAAATACTTTATTGTTCTTGTTCAGCAGACTGCAGAGAACAAACACTGAGGCTAATGTTTAGAAGAAACAACGGGTGTCAGGTTGAGGCGCTGCCAGTCTTCTGTGGGCCTTTATTAATGGTCCCTGTGAATCCCTATCATAAATAAAATATAATATATATAATTTTGATGAAGTGCATCGAACATAATTAAATGTCTGTTTGCTCAAAGGCACAGTGATAATAATATTGTTGACACAGTGACAGCTCAATGAATTGAAAAAAATATTTGCAAATAATCAATGATGAAAATAATCATTAGTTGTAGTACTAACATCCAATGTAAATGACCTTTTAACAACCATTATACTTGGGACAGTGTGAAAATTAATTTTGTACTTTGAACCTGCAACTTAATTTCTCAAAATAATTTGAGTGTAGTAACAGCTGAAGCAGCAGTAAAGTAACATTAAATTAGCATGCATTTGAGACTAATAATACTTATAATAATAATAATAATAATACAACTGTTTTAATTCAAAGTACTGAGGTAGTACAGTGAACTACAAGTGCTTGTAATTATTGTAACATCTAAACAAGCTTTCTGGACAAATATAAGTTACGTCTGTAAACTGATTCCTAAATGGATTTATTTTGATTTGAACAGTGTGCTTTAGAGTTAGAGGGGAGAGTTATTTGTTCATCTGTGCCGTTCCCTCTCTTACAGCTGGTGACTCGAACCAAGAAGATCTTTGTGGGAGGCCTGTCAGTGAACACGACCATCGAGGACGTCAAGCAGTACTTTGACCAGTTCGGGAAGGTGAGTGTTGTCTATGGGAGCGTTTAAGCTGCTGTGGTGTCAGATTGTGGCCGAAAGAAACAGCAAGGTAGGTCGGAGTCGAAAAAATAGGGACTCCTCTGTTTTAACAGATTCACATACATTTCGGTGGTGTCAGCGCAGAAGGAAATCAGCAGCTCTGAGCATTGCATCTCACCAGCTCTGCCGAGGCTGATTCACCGCAAATTCTCGGAGAAAAACTTCACTTGGGAGTCGAGCGGCTGCTTGGAAGTGAAGGAGTTACTGCTGCAGGGAGGAGGAGGAGGAGGGCGAGAAAGGATGGAGAGAAAAAGGCTTGAAGAGGGTAGGAAAGGAAAAAAATAACGAGGCTGAGAGGCTCTGAGAGCAGCAGGCGAAGTTAGGGGGACTGGGAGAGGGAGCAGGGGGAGGAGGGCGAGAGGGGGGGCGAAAAGTTTTGTAGTGAGTGTGTGGTGATGGCGAGGAAGGAGGAGGGATTATCAGAATCTGAATTAATCTGATGTAACAGCTGCTCCTACCCACAACCCCCTCCTGGCCCGTTACCGTGGTGACCCGACTTGCCCATTGTCCCCAAGTAATTCTGTGGGTAAGGGGGTTTTGTTCTGAAGGAGGAGGGATGAGGTGGTGTTCGGGGGTGTTAGCATGAGTGTTTGTGTGAGTTGGGTGGGGGTTAATTCTGTAGTTTAGTAAAAATGAATATAAATTGACTAATGCTTAAAAAGCTGCTAACTTCCTCCTTTACTTTTAAATCATTACCTTAATGAACTTGTGTTTGTTTTAAATCATTTTTTACGTAAAGTTTTATCTAAGTTTCTTAAATTCTGAGATGTGAAAGACGTGCGGCAGAGAATAGCTGACGGACTGACAAAGGCACCGACAAGGGCGGGAGGGCCTGATTGAGAGAGGTTTGCAGAGGCGTAAGAGAGGGAACTGGGGCAAAGATGTGTGTGTGTGTAAGGGGGGTTACGAGGGCCATTATGCCTCTGCACAAAGCTAGACAAATATTTTTTTAGTTTGTTCAGAAGTTATCTGCATACTGGAAGTTTCTGGACTGTTCACAGTCCTCGACGTGTACAGAAAAATCAGCGATGTGTGTGACTTTATGAGTCATGTGACTTTTAGTTCATCTTCTGCAAAAGAAAATTGGACAAAACAAAATCCCCCAAAAACATTTTTCAAGAAAATATCAGATGGACATTTAAAACCCTTGAAACTTTTCAAAGTCAGTCACAGGAAAATACTCTGTTTTAAGCCGCTACGTTTACAATCGCATGGCACTTTATTTTCAGTGCCAAAGGTTTGGCCTCGAGTTTCTCGTGCTCCCTCCTCAATCATAACGTCTAGATGAATTTTTGCCGAGAGAGATATCGAGGGATGGACGGTGAAATGTAGGCTCCAGCCATCCATGGAAGTTCCTGATTAGACTGCCTCACTGGACCTTTTGTGTCCCGTCCTGGTGAGGACAAAGGAGAGCGGAGAGGGATGGGCAGGGGATAACAGGGAAGATGAGAGGTGGGGAAAAAAGGATAAGAGAGGAATATTGTCCGGCAGTGCGCCATTACAAATGCCCAGTGTTTGAAATATCGAGCAATGATGTGCGATTAACTCCATTTTCAGCGTTTTATGTTTTGGTCGCGTCTTCCTCCGGGATGACTGAGCAGCCTCACTTTAAGTTGGGATGTATAAGTTTTATGTATTTGCCTTGTTAAACCTGTGTCTGCTCAGATTTGTATCGTAGCTGTCCTGATTTTGCAGAGACACTGAGTTAAACGTGTTGCAGACGTCAGGCAAATGTCAGGCAACGGCTTGAGAGGCATCAGAGTAACAGGTCCCCTTTCACACTGACACTCCTCACTCACCTTTGACCTTTCTGTAGGCAAACTGCCCTTAGGGGTCCACACACACACACACACACACACACACACACACAGAGTGAGACAATGTGACTATGACAAATTATTCAGTGGACCACATCCAGTAAACTTATTATAGACCGAGCACAGATTCATTTACCAAATGTTTATTTGGACCACTGTGCAGAGTATAAACATGTGAGCTTGTGGCGAGAGAGGGGGAGGTGGGGGAGAGAGTAGGTCAACTTTGACATAAGAAACTCTCTCCCTCTCTGTGTGTGTGTGTGTGTGTGTGTGTGTGGGTGTCTGTGTGTGTGTGTGTGTGTGTGTGTGTGTGTGTGTGTGTGTGTGTGTGTGTGTGTGTGTGTGTGTGTAGAATAGACACCTGTGTCTTTGCTCTATAAAGGGAGGCCGGGCTGGAGGGAGAGGTCAAAGGGAGAGGAGGAGGAGGAATCATGGCCGACTGTGCCAACAAACAAAGCCTCCAGGCCTCTTTGTTCTCCCTCTTCCCTCTCCCTTTGTCTCTTATTTCTCCTCCCTTTCCACTTTGACCCAATCTTCTCCTTTCTTTTTCTTTCCTCCTCACTCTTACAGAACTCTGTGTGCTCTATTTCACCATATCTCCACCTGTCGCTATTCCTCTCGCTATCAGCTCTGCCCTCTCATCAAGTCCCCTCCTGCCCACAGGATTCACCTTTCTGCTTGTGACCGGCAGATTTCTTTGTGTGTGTGTGTGTGTGTGTGTGTGTGTGTGTGTGTGTGTGTGTTTGCGGCCCTCTCTTTGTCTCACTGGCACTCTCCCACTATTCATAAAGCATATTTGATGTTGGCTAGAGCTCTTTTATAAAGGCTTTTTGTACAGTTGCCATGGGAATGTCAAACTTTGGAGGGGAGAAAGGGGGCGGATTATGTGATCTCTGTGAGAAGGATTGTGACTGGGGCAGTTTAGCAGCAGACACAACTTCCAACTTTTCGTGCCACCCGTTAATTCTGTTTGCCATGTACAATGTTTCTCCATATTTCCCTCTCATTGCTCCCTCGGCCTCCTCTTTGTAACCTGTCGCTTGTCCCCAGTCCCCTCCCTCCCTCCCTTGCTCCCTCTTCCCCCTCCTCTCTGTCCATCTGTTGCTGAGCCTCCCTGCAGAACTTGAGAAGGGCTGAGGTCAGGCAATATGCTGCGTGGCAAGAGAGAGAGAGAGAGCGCTGCGTTAATAAACTGTGTTGTTTGTCTCCCCCCCAGGTCGACGATGCTATGCTCATGTTCGACAAGACCACCAACAGACACAGAGGTGAGACGGACAAACCATCACTCTGTCCATCCATGCACTAGACCTCTACTTTTCCTCTCCTTGTCTTCGTCAGTTTACTACTCTTCCTCCGATCCTTCCTGGGTGTCTATTGATTCCCCCCCCAGGGCCTCCTCCTTCCTGTGGGCTGAGCAGGAGGAGACGAACGGGGCTAGTCTAATTAGCCAGTCCGTTAATCGGGATCAGGATAAAGCCTCCTTAAGCACCTCCTCCCCACCCTAGGACTGATCGATTATGACAGCCTACCAGCTTTGTCCAGGCCTTCTGGCCAGGAATGGAGGGAAGAAAGGATGAGTGCAGTATAGCAACATTGAAGGGTGGGGGGGGGGCAAATGTGTTAAGCGGCTATTACAGTGCTGATTACTGGGGACTATTAGCTGTGCCGAGAGGCCCACTGCTGAAGTCCATCAAACTGTGTGAAATTTCTATTTTTCTACTCTCAAAATGTCCTCGTCCTCACCAGGGTTCGGCTTTGTGACGTTTGAGAACGAGGATGTGGTGGAGAAAGTCTGCGAGATCCACTTCCACGAGATTAACAACAAAATGGTGAGCAGCTCCTTGTGTCCGACAACGTTCTGACATCATTGTTTTATTACCGAACTCGCCGTGCTGATTTGTTGTTTGTCTGGAAACAGGTGGAGTGTAAGAAAGCTCAGCCCAAGGAGGTGATGTCCCCCACGGGCTCGGCCAGGGGGCGCTCTCGCGTGATGCCCTATGGGATGGATGCCTTCATGCTGGGCATTGGTATGCTGGGTAAGTTAGTATCGATCAGGACAGGAAGGATGTAGTCTTACACCTGAGCCTAACAATGACTATCCCTGCATCAAGGCCCCCGTTGGCTTAAAGGTCACATGATGCCTCATGTGGAGTGAACTGACCACGCAGCTGGGTCATGTCAGCTTGTAACACTCCAACGTGCAGCCTCGATTTACTAGAGCTTAGACTTTAGAAGTTACAGAAAAAGTGCATGAAGAAAGACTGAGCACAAACATCCACCATGACCCAAATCTTAGACATCAGCCCCCCAAATGTGCCTCATTTTTTTATTTTATATGTAGAGATACAAGGATAGATACATTATTAAAATATGTGCTATATATGCTGAATCCTACATTTCCCATAATACAACAACTCGACCTTCATACCCTCACTCTGTAGTACAGGCCTTTTTAGTTCCTTGATCTCACTGTACAAGTTTCTGCTCCTCTTGTACAATCAAATGTACAGTTTCGCTCTTTTTATTTCCTTGAAGATTACGATCACTACAGTAGGATCAGGTCCACTCATTAACAGATTTCTTATGTATTCAAACAAGTTCAGGACCTGTTTGGGGATCTGAATTTAACACCAATGCCACCACCTACAGTTCAGTCTGAGAACTACACCTTCTTCTCCAGCGTTTCATTTGAACAGACAGTGTAGTTTAAGATGGAATCGCCACCATGTATTCAAAAGAAAAAAGTAAAATAATAATAGATTAGCTGTGGTAACTTTTGGTCAAAGGTAACATGTTGTATCCATGTGGATGTTGTTCTGAAGTCAGTTCTCCAGTTGGCAGTTTGTGCACAATGAAAATCTCGGTGTAATGTGTACCGCTGAGAGTGAAACCCAAGACAATGACACTAAGCTGCTTAGTCATAGTGAAGAAACCCAGACCAGAGGTGTAGAATATCATCCATCTGCACGTCACACAGCAAACCAGGCGTCACACCTAGGGGGCAGCACAACCACAAGCACGTGCACACAATACCACAATGACAACTTTTTTTTATTACACACTAAATAAGCACCCAGTTTATTTCCTATTTCTTCTCTTATCCATATGTTGATGATGAGTTTTTTCCTGCAGGTTATCCCGGCTTCCAGACGGCCACCTACACCAGCCGGAGCTACGCTGGCATCACTCCTGGATACACCTACCAGTTCCCGGGTAATCACAGGACATTTTCTGCTCCTCATACACTCTGAAGTTATTTTTGTCACATTCACTGAGAATTAAACACACAGCTACATTTAGTTAGCAAGTGCAAGTGTAGTGTAGATGCACATGCTGGGTGAGTTTGACTCTGTGGTCACCGTACACACTAACATTAACTGCATTTAGCAATTGCACAGAATGAAGAACCTGTCATCTAAAGTTTTCTAGTTTTGTTTTGTGTGTCAAAAACATTTTCCTGTGAGTAATGATGTATGAGCAGCAGATAAATCTGTGGTTGAATGGAATGAATGTAGCTCTAGTTGTAGATTTGTATTGAACTGACAGTAGATAACTGTCACAAATACAAACATGTTTCCATAGAAGCACATGAAACACTGTGAGTGTAAATGGCTGCTTGTAAATATCAGGGAGCGGAATTTGCACTGAGATGTGTGTGCGTCCGTGTGTGTGTGTGATCTGGGAGTTCATTCCGATATTTGATGTCCACCAATGAATAATTAAGGGAAATCAATGTACTCCTCTGAGTTGAAGTTATTTGTTTTATATGACACTTGCTATATATGTATATATATGTTGTGTATCATTTATAACTCCACTTTTTTTGCTTTAAAAAAAATCCTTCTGTCCTTTAATTCCTGTTTGCATTCCTCAAACCCTGTGTGCTTCCCTGCCTGTGTGTGTGTGTGTGTGTCGGTGTGTGTGTGTTCTCTCCTTGCCGGCAGTGATGGTGTTTGTCTCAACAGCACTCTGATGTTTCTGTTTTAGAGTTCCACTTAGAGAGGACTCCCCTTCTGACTTCACCCCATCCCCCTGAGCTCACAGGTCAGTCAGTCCCTCCTCTGGACTTTACAAGCAGCATGTTGTCACGTCTGCTACGTGTCACGCTAGCATCGACACCGGGTCACGCTTTGGTTTGCATGTTTGTGTTTGTCAGTCCTCCTTGTTCTCGAAACTGAAGGCAGGATTGCTAACAGTAAAGAGGAAGGTTTCGTTGAAAGTCTTCCTCCACTAAGCGGCTTATACTTCAGCATTTCTGAGAAAATTACAACATAGATTAGAGAGAACTCCAGCACTTTCTAAAGTCACTGGAAGGAGACATGTAATTATGTGTTCTTAGTTGGCTATTATGCACCTACACATAAAAAGGTGTTGAACTTGGGTTTTACTTTTTCTTTTCAGCCATTCCTCTCACAGCGTATGGACCAATGGCAGCAGCAGCGGCAGCAGCAGCAGTCGTCAGAGGTATGTAAATGAAAAAAAGAAAATAAGAAATGTTGTTTTTTTTTAGACTTTGACAGGATTATTTCTTACATCTGAACATCTGCAGTATTGGTGACTAATTTCACATGAAACAAAAAAATTACCAACACTAATTCTTCTTATTTTTCTTAACTGCTAATATAGATTCAGATTTTACAGATGAACAAGTTCTAATTTAGCAGCCTACCACCTTGCCAATCTTCACTATGATGCTAGTCCCCACTAATAATACTGAACAGATGTTTGAAGAGTTGTACTGTTTGCAACAAATTGCTAAATATCCCTCTAAACCTAAAGTAAAAAACTTTATGAGAAAAGACAAGTCTACTGCATGAATGTATATAAAGATGGACGAAATGACAGTGAGCCCAAAAGTAAAGCCCAAACATCTCTTGATTGCCCTCTTGTGGCTGGTTGCAGTTCAGCTCATAAACCCTGCCGTCTCTATTAAATTTGTCCAAAGATGGTTTCTATCTTTTGGGTAGTTTTTATAAGAATGTATGTCAAGTGGTAATTTAGTTTGATGTTATAAAAATAGAAAGTGTAATTGGTCAAGCATGTATATTGGATAGGATCTCAATACTACGGCTACACACCACAATCACAACTACGCAAACTCTGGCTAAATGACATTGTCAGTACAACATGGCTGCACGTGTGTCTGTGATATTCTGGTTTAATTAATCCAGGAAGTGGAGATATGTTGTTTATCTTTATATACAGTCTCATTTATTTCCAGAGTAGATGATAGCTTCCACTGACCCTTATCTCCACCTCAATTAAAAAACACTATTTCATTTAGGCTTTTAGCCTGTAAGTGTTTCAAACAGCAAGAATCTATCTGTTTTGACTTTTAGGCTCTACCCCGTCTCGCTCAGCTGGATTTTTAAGTACGAGCAGCCCTGGGCCGATGGCAGACCTGTATGGGACAGCCAGTCAGGAGTCAGCAGTCAGCAGTTACCTCAGCGCTGCCAGCCCCGCCCCGAGCACTGGATTCAGCCATAGTTTGGGGGTAAGTTATTGTTCTTTATAGTTCTGTACTTCTGGTTCTTAACAGTGTCTTAGCTGTTACTCAGGAACTGTGGTTTTCATTCAAACAAAAACACAGCAGCACTGATTAACAACTCCGAAATGGTACAATTCATTGTCAGGATTCTTCTAACAAAGAAGTGACCCTTGAACTTTTCTATTCTTGCTCCCACAGGGCCCTTTGATTGCCACAGCCTTCACTAACGGATATCACTAAGAGTGTAGGTCAGTCTTTGTCTTGTTGAACAGGTCTTTGTTTGAAACGTTTTGTTTAAAACACATTATTTCATCAACTGACCTGTGAGTAACACACGTGGCTTTCGTGTCACTGCAGAGCTGTAGACTGAGAGCTGAAAGGAGTTTCGGAGCTGATCTGGCCTGTCTCTGTCCGGTCCACCTCTGCGGCTGGGGCGGCTCGACCTTCGACCACCACCACCGACCCCCCCCAGCCGACCCTACTGACGCTTCACTTAACTCCACCTCCTGACGAAACGAAAGAAGAGAAACTTCATAAAAGGAGCGTTTATCACTATTTGTAATAGCGACACATGCAGATGCTGAATTTTTAGTGTTTTTTCTGTTGTTATGTTTTACCTTGCTGTTTTTTTTTTTTGATGGCTGTGTTTCTTTATCTGTTTTGGTTGTATTTTATTGGATTATTTGAACTTTGGCCTCTGAGATAAGAGGAGTTCAAGCTCCGGGTGAATCCCATTTGAAGGTCAAGAGCTGTAATTTGTACTGAGGAAAAAAAACCTGTATATTTGTCTAGTTGTCTATACTAGTTCATACTGAATTTTAACAGAACATTTGTGATTAATACTATTTCCTGACAATGTGTCATAAAGTGTATATCTTGGTAGGTTTCTAACAAAGACTTGTACTACTAATAATGGTCAGACAAAGGTCATTAGTCCCTGTTGCATAATATGCCAACATGAGCTGTACAATTTTGTAAAATATTGTAAATATGGTTTTCGGGGGGCTTAGAGAGTGGAGGGTGGGGGTTCAGCTAATTGTGTGGGGGAGGCTTTGGAGAAAGGTGTTGGAAAGCTTGACTGTTACGTATCATATTTTCACATGGGGGTCGAGAACATTTCAGTTTGCCTGTCACCAGACCAGCCGTTCAGTGCATCTCTCTCCAGGCTTCTATGGAGGACGTCTCACTAGAGTGTGTTAGTGCTGCATCAGAGTTGAAACACTTTACGTGCAGCAGAGGAGAGACGCTGAGTCTGGAACAACAGTCATCAATCAGGAGAGTTAACAAGAAAAAAAAACATGCTACTTTCTTACTTTGTCATGCTGTTGTTTTAACTGTGATTTTTTCAATATGCGATGTTTGTTTGTGAAGGAAAATGAAGGACGAGTGCGCGGGAGCAGTGGTACGCAGTTAGCGTGTTTACGGCTGATTATTTGCGTGATCATGTCATGTGGTTTTGTACACATTGGTTTCCAATGTGCCATGTGCTGTTTTTCTTGGGGGTGGGGGAGGGTTGGTACCTCAGTTGCAAATGTGAAATTTTAATCAGACTTTTTTTTATTATTGCATTAACATCTGTGTCAAAGTGTGGATGGTTAAACCTTTTAGAGAGGTGGGTTTTCTAACAGGAAAGGAGGGGCGGGTCATTTTAACTCTTACCTGTATCTTCACCTGTCACCCACCCCCTCCTAGCCATCACTGCATATCCACTGGAGGTCACAGACTGTAGCAATGTGACAACTATTTTTACACCAAAACAATTATGTTCAGAGCTAGTAGTATGTTGCACTGGCTGATCACAATAAATGTGTTTCTCTTTTGAATGTTAGCTTAAGAACAAAGCACTCTCGATCTGCAAGACACCGGTTTTTACATTTCGATACACTCGCTCACTCTGCTACAGGTCACCATGGTAGTTCATTCATTCTTTGATGCAGTTTTCACTGAAAAATAACAATCTTGTCAACACTGTAACTTTTTTCTGATTTTCTTTTTCCTGTCATGTTTATTCCTTTGGAAAAAAAAAAACTTTTTAAAATTCCTAATAAATTATTTAAAAACATTCCACTTCTGTATCCTGTTGGAGTTTTTTTTAAATCAGGGGAGCATTGTTAAGGAGAATCTTCACATATGAATGAATACTTGTGGGCCATAAAGAACATCCCTGCAATACACCCTGTCAGTGGTAAAGGTGTAACAAAGTACATTTACTGTATTTTACTTGGAGTGTGTTTTTCATGGTAACCTACATTTTGGTTTATCTATTCATACTTTTACAACCTCCAGTGGTCTTCATATTCCCTTACTGTGATGAATTTGTACCAAATTACAACAAATTTAGTGCTATATCCTTAATTGTTTTAATAAATGATGCTACATTTGTACTAAATGACCATAATAACCGACTACAATAGACTTTCTATGAATTACAACACATTCTGTACTACATTCTTTGCAAATAGTAATACATTATTGTACATTCGTACAAAATGACAATAATAGCTGAGTACAAATGTACTAAATTGAAGACTTCTACAGTGAATTTCTACAGAACTGTGGTGAATAATACATTTTAATTAAAAAACAACAACTCCAATCTGCCAATCTCAGTGTACATTGGGACACAGGTACTGTGGACAGGTCACCAGCATATCACAACACACAGAGACTAACAAACATACACATTCACACCCCCTAACCACTCCACCAGGCTAAATCAAATCTCTGTTTCACAAAGAAAAACACACAAGTAAAAGAGCATAAACTTGTGCAAAGTTGCGAAAAAATAATAAAAATAAAATAATAGTGTAAAGAAATGTGTGAGAAATTTCAACTTGACCATGCAATACAATACTAAAAACTAGAATTAGGTAAAGTCTGCAGATTATCTATTAAGACAAGTAAGGTCGTTGCAGTAATCCAGTCATGATGAGATCAAATAGGAATGTCTAATAAATTGGTATAATTTTTTTACTAATGCCTGTGAGAGTGTAATAATTAATATATCTGTACTAAATGACTTTAAATATATATTTAGAATAAATGACTTAATATGTATTCCTTGTCTTTCCTCCACTTCCAGATATTAATACCACTGATATCTCAGTGTGGCTGCTGGCCTGAGTCTCCAGGCTGCCTCTGTGGGTCCCTCACATCTCTCTGCTGGCTGATCTCTCTCTTCCATCATCACTGCTCTGCTGCCTCTCCTCCCCTGCCTCCACCTCCACGTTCCCAACGTCTCGGCCCTGTTGCGTTCACCTATCTGCTTTGACGGTCTCCGGGGGGAAGCCGCAGCCAGTCGTGAACACCAAACCCTCGCTTCAAGAAAGCTCTGACCTTGTGAAGAATGGGGAGGCTCAGGAGATCCCCCCTCTGAGGGGTGACTTTATATCTCACCATGCAATTGCCCTGCCTGGCCCATTAATACTATGGTGCCAGGCTGGTGAGTTATCCAGTGCTGAAGGTTTGAGGTTTCTGCACATTCCTGTTTATAACTAGTTTTAAGGCAGGATACTCAACATACCTCTAGTTCACAGATACATGTACTTAATCGATCTCTAACTGAAATTTCTGAAGGCTAATAGCAGAGGATAGCTCCAACCTAATGACATCAGGGTTATGGGTCCAACATGATGTGCCACTATGCCATCAGACACCCCAGATGAGAATTGAACCCACCATGAGGGCAGGGCCTCATCCATTAGGCCACTGGGGCACTTGCAGGGGAGCCATCCCTATGGTAAACCATGCCCATTACTGCTGACTGTAGTGATATGCACACTTTTTCACATCAGTGTTTAAAACTGGAGAACCCAAGCTCATAGGTTTTGCAGCTCCTTGGTCAAAATTAATTTCCTGTCAGTGACACAAAGGTTGAAGAAGTCAAAGCTTTGGATAGACACAGCATGTGTAAGCTGCTATCATGTACTGAACTCTGGATATTCTCCTGAAATGATATCACCTTGGAAAGACAACAAGATTCAAGAGCTTTTCGCGACAAGGGTAAACACCAGTCTCGATGTGTACATCATCTTCTGCCTCCTGGATGCTCTACCCACGCACTGCCCCTTGCCTGAAAGTTCCAGACACTTTCCTGTTGTGAAAGCGTCTAATCCGGGCAATCTCCTGCTGCATTCTTCATATGTGAAAGACAAACATGTTCATGTCTGAAAACGTCTTTAGATCTGTCTCAGGTCTCTGAGCTGTCCGACAGAGATGTGTTAAGTCACTGTGCCCACAGCAGCTGTCCCATCATTGTAGCTGTGAGTGACTGGATGAGACGTGTCGGCTCAGCTGTCCACTGTTTTTCGTCGCCAAGGACTCTGGCTTCAGTTCAGAACTGGAGTAAAACAAGAGAGGCAGGTGTAGGGAGATACATGTGGATTCAAGTCAAAGCAGTGAATCGTTTCTGTCCAAATGTTCCAAATAGTGTCCCATGAAAGACACATGCAGAAGTAATGTGGGACTTGCTACTATGGGGCTCAATTGTGAAATCCTAAAACTGAATTTGACCTTTTTCTCGTAGGCTCAAAAGAGCCATGATGAGCAGGACTATGATGATCTTCCTTTTGTCATGTGTCTCATGGTCATCGCTGCATTTTATGCAGATGCACCCAATATGAAATTTAACGGTGGAAAGAAATGATTTCAGTCACAGTTTGATGCTGTTGTGCACATTATATTAATATGACACTTATGCAGCTTTTGTTTTTGCAAATATTCACTCAAAGGTCGTTATGAAAGAGAATCCTAAACATTCGTTTTTCACCCCTGACCCACATCTCAGTAAATGTTGAAAAGAAATTGTTTGAGTTTAACTGGAACCAGAGCCTTTAGGCCAAAGACTGAAAAAAGGCTTTGAGTGTTATTGTTGTAAATGCAGCTATGTGTTTCGGGACAGTCGTGTGAAAGGAGGAGCAGATCTGTAAATTGATCTCCAGTGAGCCGGATGAGATGACAGGGAAAGCTGCTGGATGTTGTGATGAACCCCAAAAAAATCATCCAGTGATAATAAACTGGAAACATATAAAAATAATGCTCTTCCTGTCAAACCAACAGCTTTCACCAGGTGAACTTTTCTTGTACTTAAGGGAGGGCTTGGGACATGAACTCTGAGTAAACAGTTTTCAAGCTCTCTTTGCTGATGCAGCTGCTTGGAGTTTTGGTCCGCCGGGTCACCATGGCAACTTATGAACCTGCTGGTGGACAGCAGCTGAAGTGGGAGGTCTTTTTTTTTGCTTAGGCCCCCATCTGCCAAACCCAGAGACAACTCGAGCAAGGGGAGGCGGGGTCTTGTTCTCTGCAGGGTCTGGAGCACTGTTGACCTTCACTGAGGACAGAGCGGTGAGGAAACGTGAAAATAACCAACTGACCCATCCGAGATGCCAAGGTCTGAGGGGAAGACTTATTCTCAGGAGGACCACATGATAGGCCTGCTCTTTGACGTCAAGGATATGAGATGGGTCATGCAGCTAACAAGTTCATTTCTGCTCCGTGCAAACAGACGAAGAACACAACACACAGATTACATGTTTGACCTGAGAATGCCTCATGATCCCTTGAAGCAGAAAGGAGGTGGCTAGGACAAGGACACTGACCTGCACCCAGATAAGTGGCAGAAAATGGACAGATAAAACTCTTTTACAAAGAGGCTCCAAAAAAAACCCACTCCAAAATATTCTGTGCATGGACAAACACGAGGAAAACCAAAACAGTGGCACACACAACAGATATGGAATGAGGGGAACAAAACCAAGGGAATCAAAGACACTTATATACACAGATCAAGTTGGAGACACACAAGGAGCGCCATTTCTAAATAAAACAGGAAACAGAGAATACAGTGATTATAAACAACCAAACACAAGGACAACCAAGGTTAATGTCCATGAACAAGAAGTCCAGAAAATAGGGTCCAGAAAACCGTCTCAATAGTTCATATGAGAAGCCGGGGCGGAATCATCACACACACACATTGACCCACCAGACCAGACCATTACCCATCAGCAGGTTAATGAAATGATAATATGGTCCCTAGGTGGGAAAAGAACATAAACTGCATACTGCTGGTTTATAATCGTTACAGACTATTACTAACCCTGACCCTGAGGGTAAAGAGGTGACCTTTCCTAACATGGATATACGGATGACTCTTAATTCGAGTTACAGGCTTTGGATGCAGTGTAGGAATTCTATGAAATTGGATATCCGTGAGAACATCTTACAGAAACCAGATGAGATATGGAGCAGGGACACTGTTTAGCTGACCTGCAGCAATTTTAAAAACCACTGACTATGTTTCAGCTTTAAAAGCCACACAACTATGACAATACAAAATACATCAAAAATAAAATCTACAAGGAAAACAAATAGTAGATTCATTTAAACACACACCCCAAAGACACACTCTACCCCATTCAGACCTGGTAAACTGATGACACAAGTCAACAACATATACAACATATCTGGTCGTTTTAAGACTTTGAATGGAGAAATGTTACATATTGTATCTTTAACATGAATTAAATGTGTCCTCAACAGTTGCATTTCTGTTTATAAAGGTTATTGGATCTAGTAAAGTAATTCTTTGGACCACTTTGTTCTTCTCAGGAATTTGATGTCTGGACAGAGATATTTTGAACAATGAAGAGTTTTTTTTTAAAAGAGGCACTAATATTCTTTCAAAAATACACCACAGTAGTCTATGCAAGGCCTTATTAGCCATTTTCAGACATGAACTCTGGAGTCACACACTCCTGATGTCCACAGAATTGGGTCCAGCTCAGCTCAGACGTGTTCATAACAATACAGAAATCTCTCTCTTGTTCAGGTGAGGGGTGGCGCAGCATGAAGACACAGGATATAACGTGTTGATTCTGCTGCAGAGATGTTTTTATTATCGACACTGGCGTCAGCTCTTATCACTGAAAGATCTCTTGACATCTTAGTCGCTGTCTTCTACATGTATATGGCCCAGATTTTTCATCCTGACATATTTTGCTTTCTTTTGTTCGTTTTTTTTTCATTTTTGCATCTGTCACCCACTCGCTCTCCTGCGGAGGATCTCCTGCTGTTTTCTCACATACTCTCATTCCATTCTCCAGAGTTTCAACTAGGGGATTGGCAGGAGAAACCCTGGGGAAAGTCTGAAGGCTCTTTCTTGGAAATTTGCGTTCACACTTAAGTCGTTTTCAGACATGACCTTTGTGTAAAATCCGGAGAATTAGCTGCGGAGTTTACCCAGAGTTTTCCTTTCGCACATGCAGAACACAGCTGGAGGTTCTCTGCACAGATGCGTTTATGACAGCAACAAATCCTCTATATTATTCAGGTGAGAGTACAGCAGGCAGAGACAGGAAGTGACATATTAACTCCTATGCAAATCAGGTGATCCTGTTTGCAGCACCCAGACACCGTTGTCAGCTTTTATCACCGCTAACTCTCGACATCTTTGTTGGTGTCTTCCACGTGTGTCACCACTTTTTCTCCGATAGATATTTGTTTTTTTTTAATTTTTGTGTCTGTCATGCATAAGAAGCGTCATTAACCCCCCCACTCGCTCATGGTGAATCCAGTGGGGATCCCGTGCTTTGCTCACAGATCCACTTCTCCTGGATTTCTACAGACTGTACACTAGGAGGTCAGGCCAGATAAAGTCTGTAGAGACTGCGGAGCCTCTCACTGACATTTGTGTTCACACGTGCACCTCCTCTGGACGAACAGTGGAGTCCAGTGCAGGTCTGAGAGCAGCTACTGTGTGACCGCTAGCTGTACCGCGGACCTGAGGTTGAAAACCACCGATCAGACTTCAACTTCCAACCTCTGGATCGTTTTCACGAGTGTCTCTGAACACACACACAAACACACACACACACACACACACACACACACACACACACACACACTGAAGTTAAATAAAGCTGGGACAGTGGTGTAAACAGTCTGGGGAGCATCGGGTTAAACTTCTACTCGGCCTGAGCTCGAGGAGGAGGAGGCGGAAGAGGTGTGCTTTGTTCCCTACACACACACGCATACACACACACACTCACTGGACTTTCGTTCAAATGGCGAGAACGCGCACAGTTCGGTGGAGAACCGGAGACTAAAGAAACAGGAGGCAGGAGAAACAAAGAGCCCGGTTCTTCTTTTTGTTTGGAAGCTGTGCTATGTGACCGCTGTTCCGCTTTTCTTTTCAGTCCACGAGGTAAACGTCTCCCAAACAGCAGCGATACAAACAACCAGCGAGTTTCCACCCGGAAACAGATGCGCATTGGAGCAGAGACTGCAGCCACCAACACCTGAGCTGAGAGGATCCAGGTGAGCAGGACACCGAGCTCACTGACACTGACATCCGTGATCCTGCAGATCCCCCTCTCTAAAGACACGCCACACTCTCCAGTGTGTGTTTTTAACCTGCAAACTAAACGGTTCTTTGGTGAAACACATGAATGCTTGTTTAAATATCACATTTGACCAGAATTCTAAAAGGAATCTACATGTATGGGTTGAACACGTAGACTGTTTATAAAGTTGAACACAGCTCATAACGCCACCTAGTGTTTCAAACCGTCTTGGACTTTGCAGGGCGGGTGCTTACATAGAGTCAACAGCTTGGGACGACTCCACGTCATGACCCTTAATTTATTTATGTTAAGGTTAACACTGGCTAGTCCTAGGTGGTCGCCCCCCCGCCACCAGCAACTACTTGACCCATGAACGTCTACCATTCAGAGACTTCCCACCATCCTCGTGTCCTCATGTCTTGCCTTCTTTGTTTCCTTGGTGATCAAGACCACATCTGTCAGTGCCAGCGGTTTAAACAGCTTGGGACGACCCTGGTCTTGGTCGACAGGAAACTCTGGACTTTATGCAACATTTGTGTCACAAAAGTGTGAGCGCTGCTGCTGGATTCATACTTTAAACCAAATGTACAAGGCTCCACCTTTAACCCATATAGATTTTTGGGGGGGGTTAGTCTCCTGGGGGTCTCTACCCTGCATGTCTCAGGACGCTGACTTGATCTTGATGTGTGTCTTTGCAGTGGTTGGTGCCACCAGGATGGGGAACAGCAGCAGTGACAGGTCCAGTGGAGGTCAGGGTGAAAGGTCATACAGAGATGGAGCGCAGGGAGGGAAGGAGGCACGTCCTAACATCCTGATGGACAGCACCGAGGACGCAGATCTGTTCCAGAGGGAAGACTCAAAGGTAAAATCCAGTGTTTATCATACACACATACTACCCACTCTATGTAATGATTAACCTATATGTCATATTTCTGGACCATCCATTACATTCAACAGCATTTGCATATTTATTATGAATTGCATATGATTGTAAACCATCATTTTGAGTTTGTTTATTGGTTGATTTGCATCTGATAGATGTTAAATGTTTAATAGTTTTTCATTTGCCCCATAAAGCTTGACCAAGACATTTTTCAAAATAATATTTTGGTACATTGAAAAATTTAAATTGTTTACCAACTTGAAAAATTGTGGCTAACATATTTAGCAAACAGTTTTGTATTAATCCAACTTACCAAGAACTCCCAAGAATTAAAATGAAGAATGTGCGTTACGTCTGTTCTCATTAGCTCAGGATAAACAAAATAATATGTATATCAGGAAACATACTATAAAACACACAACATAATCAAGGTAACTCAATCTTCAGCTCCCACCCTAGTCAGGAGTTGTGTGTGTGTTGTGGTGTAGATTCTGAAGTTGCTCTCATAAACATGGGAACAATACATTGATCCATGTTTTCCAGGCTCCACAGGAAATACAGGAGTTCCTGGCCTGGCAGCAGGACCTGGAGAGTGACAGCAAAAGTCCAACGCAGGACAGACCCACTGTGTTCAGGTGGGCGGGGGTCGCCAAGGAAGTCTTTGTGTCTGGCTCTTTTAACAACTGGGCCACCAAAATCCCACTCAACAGAAGGTACTTTGACTCACACATGGTAACATCTCGCATGGTTGAACCTGTTAACGAAGTTGGGACTCGTGGTTCTCTCTTTCAAACCCAGCCAGAAGAACTTTGTGGCTATCGTTGACCTTCCGGAGGGAGAGCACCAGTACAAGTTCTGTGTGGATGGTCAGTGGACTCTGGATCCGACTGGGGTGAGTGAGAAAACTACATTAACATTTTTGCAGTCACAACAAAAGCCTAGTGTACACCCGCATGTGTTGATATCAAATTTCTGTTTACACTGAGTCACAGGCTGTGATGACGTCTAAAACTGGAACAGTCAATAACGTTATCCAGGTGAAGAGAACCGACTTTGAAGTTTTTGATGCCCTCAGGATTGACTCAGAGGATTCTGTTGACATTTCAGGTACTGGTACCTGTATTCACTCATTAACCCTCAAGTGTCCTGAGCTATTTTAACAGTTTGTTGAATGCTTTTGAATTGGCCTTTATATACCACGTGAAAAATGTTTCCCATGCCATTGTTTGGTTCATTTTATATTGTATATCAACATTGGACTCAAAAATACACATGAAACATCAAGTCCCATAAGGAGAATTATGTGTTTTACTATAAAAACCACAGACATGCTCAACAAAACATTTTCAAAGTAGAAAATCTAAATGTAGTTGTAAATTGAACATATAACTGAAAGGTAATATAACATCAAGTAGTAGGTACCTATTTGAAATAAATAGCAGGTGTGCAGAGACTTTTTTTTCTTAGTACTAGAAAACACTTCAAAACTGTTTATATACTCAGTTAGACAAATGGGTACATCACAGTTTTTGCATTACAGAGTGAGGAGAGTTCCCAAATAATGCATATATAAAATATTAAAGGTCAAACTGAGACAAAATCTCACACGCTTTGTGTTTTCATGCTGTGGGCTTCATTTATTGGCAACATGTTGGAAACTATCACAGTCTGTCCACTTTTCTCCCATTGCTCTCTCCCGGCTCTCTGCTTCGTCTCCCTCGCCCCTCCCTAGTATCTTCAGCTTGTAGAGCAGCATCAATAGTTTCACACATTTTTTTTCTGCTTCTCAATATGACGAAAAATGAATGTGTGTAAAATATGGTTTTTAATTGTTTTCAAGTCAGCCATTTAGATTTTTTCTGAACAATGTCTGATTACTACTTACATAGCTTGTAGTCCTCAGTGACATTCACTAATGCTAGTGACATTTGCTCATCTGTGGACCCTTGGAAGGATTCTGTCTGCTTTATTTTTTTAAGTGGGGCTGGATTAAAGAGAGTTATGTGATTGGTTCTTTCACAGACTTGTCCAGTTCCCCGCCCGGCCCCTACCAACAGGACGCATATGTGATCAAATCAGAGGACAAGATCAAACACCCTCCTATCTTACCTCCCCACCTGCTGCAAGTGCTGCTCAACAAGGACACAGGCATCTCTGTGAGTACAGGTTTCGTGTGGCAGTAGATGCTGGTCGTTATGACTCACACCAGTCCAGGGGCCTATTTTATTCAGTGAAATTCACCCTCTACTCTTATCTACTCTCAGTGTGACCCGACGCTACTTCCAGAGCCCAACCATGTGATGCTCAATCACCTGTACGCCCTCTCCATCAAGGTAACAAGTCCTTATAGAACATATTTGCTTTTTAATGTTGTCCCTCATAATAAAAACCTGGTGAAAATGATAGATCAACCCCCTCTGTCTCAGAGAGAATGCACATATCGGCACAGCTTTGGTTTTTATTTTGCTCACAATTGTTATTAAGCAGACATGCTCATGCTTAGGTTCATACATTTTGTGTTATTTACATTCTCTAATGTTCAGAAAACACCTCTTACACACCCACCATTCTGAGAAAACATGTCGTCCAACCAGGAAACTGTGCCAAAACGGTGCAAAACGTTTTGATATTGATCGTGGCCGTGGCTTTGTTCGGGGGCATGCCAGACTAGACGCTAGGTGTGCATTATGAAAAACGTTGAGTATTGAGATGTCCTGACATTCTTCTTGTCACACAACATCACAATGAGGCAGAGGTATCAGCCAAAGTACTGATGAGGCGTTCCAGGGGCATTGTTTTTGTTTTCGTGGGGGAGACGGGCTCCCTTTGGCCTGTAAGACTTTTTACATAAATCTTTATAATGCACTAGAGGAAAGGGATCATCTGAAAAACTCTTCTTTACCACTTAACTGTTAGCTTTAAGCTTTCTTCTGATCTTTGTGTTTCAGGACGGGGTGATGGTTCTCAGTGCAACACACCGATACAAAAAGAAGTATGTGACCACTCTTCTGTACAAGCCAATATAACCCACAGAGCCATGATCCAGCCTCGTGTGTTAGAACAATCATTTGTCTACTTTTGTACACAGCTGTTACTGTGACTGTTGTCTTCTTTGTGAACCTAAATATCTTCCTGATATCATCTTAGACATCCTGTAATATTTTGAAAATGTGCTTATTGTAATAACTGTAGCCCAATGCTTCCATCGTTATGATGAGTCTGTGTCAAACAGAAGAAGAAGGAAAAACAAAGGGTCAAATGAAGTTTTCATTGTAACCTCAGATTTGTCAATAGATTGATGTGGATGTTGAAACTGGCTTTAGCTTCAAAAGCTAAACTATGACCTCTGCTACATAACATCTTCATATGTGAACAAACATGTGAGGAGACAAAGAGGATGAAATTCAACAGGATGGCATATTCTTTTTATTTTAAACTGACTCCTTTGCACAAGATCAGATGTGTTTTACATCAGGGTTTTATTTTAAAATGAGTGAGAAATTAAAATAAATTCAAAAGAAGATTTTTACAAATCCAGCGTTCTTTTTTTGGGGGGGGGGGGGTTGACAAGTTGCACAACTCAGTTGACACAGTGGACCTTGGAATCCAGGTTCTTGTTTCCAGGGTTGTATGTGCTCTGAGCGAAGCAGTGAGCCGCCACCCGATCACACTCGCACACAGCAGCCTGGCACTTGTTGTTGGTCGCTGTGGAGACGAGTTTATAACAAAAAGTCAAACATGTTTTAGCAATAGTTTGGTTTGGTTCTCCAGATGCCAGCGTGAAAGTGCTCCACAGGAGAGCATTTGTTTGTTGTGGACTTGTCTCAAGCTGGTTGTGTAATACCCATATATAGCTGTTTAATTACAGCTGCTAAATATACAGCACCTATACACAGCTCCAACTAAAGATGTCATTACACCTCACACCTGTTTACAGTGAATGACAAGATCCTAAGGTAAGGTAAGTACTGGATATGTAATATTTTATATACAATCTATGGGTATATCTGTATTTTAATTAAAACTTCAACCTATTCTTTGTGTAATTTTGACCAGTGCCATCCAAGAACTTTTCATATTTCATTTCATTTTAACATTTCATTAAGGAACAGCTAGTAGTAGATTAACAGTATGAAAGTGAAGTTTAAATGATGGTACCTGAGCAGGTCACTTGTTGGTTTGAGCAGGTGAAATCATAAAGCAGAACGTAAGGCAGGTCGGCGATGGCCGTGCACCCGGGCTTCTTTCTGCTCGCTTCGTAGCATTTGTCGTGAACCTTACAGCACCTATGGATACAGGAGGAAAAGGACCAGTGTGAAAAGGGTCTCTTTGTTTTAAAGATGATGACTGAAGTGATAATTATTGACGAATGTCTGCTCCCTACATGTCTAGTTCATCCCGAGGGGTTCCACTGCCGCCAAAGCCGCACCAGCAGCCATAATCGTTGTAGGCCAGGGGGTTAACAGTGGGCTGGGGGCACTGGATCATCTTCCCAAACTGCCATAATGCCTTGGGCAGCAGAGCACCGCTGGCTATACAAGCTGGTGGAGAAACAATAGATCAGGAGAAAATAAGTGTCCTGCTGCAAGAGATAGAAATATTATCGACTGAGCTGTGAGAAAAGTAATTCACACAGAATCAGCCTTTACAAATAGGATCTGGAACAGGGTGATATAGTTCAACTTCAGTCTTACCAGTGAGAAGCAGCAGCAGCAGAGGTGCCGTCACATTCATGGCTGCAGGAAAAAAAAACCCTCACACTGCTGCAGCCTGCCCTTATAGGATCTGAGGCATGAGAAAACCAGAGATAAGAGGGAAACAAGCGAGAGGTGGCTGTCAGCTGGATCATGTAATCAGCCTGTGAGACCTGTGTTTCAGTGGTGGAATCTAATCGCATGAACTCAATTGCTGTTATTACTTAAGCAGAAATTCCGGGAGTTGTATTTCAGCCAACTTAAATTCAAAAGCAAATATTTTCCTTCATTCAGCAACATTTATCCATCAGATTAAGTTACTATTTTACTTTACAGATTCGGATTTTATATACAAAACATATGCTTTGAACATATGATGCATTTTTCTGAGATTGCACTACTAAAACAGGAAATTCTTAAATTGATGGATAACTGTGTTGGAATTGAAAGGATAATGAGTTTCAAATATCCTGGTCAACTTTTAGTCTGTAACCACAGTGTAGAATAAAATAATGTGAGTTCATCCACAGGAAACATGACACATCTAGTCTTATTCACCTTCTTGTGTTCTTCCCTCAAATCCTCATTTATTCTCCTCTCATTGGTTCATCAGGAAATAGACTAACTTTCCTTTTTCTTTTGATCTTTCCACATACGTTTTCTAATCAAATATTCCCTTCTCCATTTATTCCTGCTCACTCTGGACTCACTTGATTTAGCATTTTCCCTTTAGACAGAAGTTAAATTTAACACACAGCTGTGTAAATAGCCAGCATTTGTTCGAGTTCCCATGACTTCTCCCTGCGGGCTGCTCACGCTGGATGCTCACGTCAACACAAAAGTAATCTATGCATAGTACAACATGATAAGTAAAAAATGGATATAAGCAGAATTTCCGTTTATATGCATATGTATTTGTATGCATACTGTATGAGCATATGTGTAAGTACACACTATACATGTGTACACATGACACAATGGAAAGAGTTTGTAAAACTCCTGGAGTCTCCTCTCGATGTCAAAAGTCAGCGTTTAGCTTTAAGCTTCAGAGTCCACATCATTTCCTGCAAGATGCTCCTGGCCTGTGAGTACCCGGAGGCCTTTTTATTCTCCACTCTCATTTCTACTTTATGTGTGCATGTCTGACTGATCAGCGTCCCGGGTGCATTTGGATTTCATGTGATGCGGATATTGTGTCTCAGAAGTACCTCTGCGCTGCCCCTGGAAGCTGGCCGGTGCTGGACTACACTGATTATGGCTGTTACTGTGGGCTAGGAGGCTCTGGCACACCTGTGGATGAGCTTGACAGGTAAGAACTTGGGCACAGAAACACTCAAGCCTGTGTTATTCTGGATCAATTTAAAAACGTAAAAAAAATATAAAAGAAAGAGATAAAATATGCATACAAATTAAATGGCTTCCCTTAAATGGCTTCCCTGACATATACCACATCCTGCCCCTTTTCATGCTTCATCTGTCCAGTAGTTTTTGAGTAATCCTGCTAACTAACAAACAAACAAATGGACAGTGGTCAAAACATAAGCCCCTTGGTGGTAATTATAATCCATGGATCTCAATGAAAGAATCAGATTGATATTTATAGGTGTGTATGTTATAAATTTGGAGCAGCTTAATTGAATTTAAGGGTACTGTTGGGTTTTGGTGGAGGTATGCGCTCTACTGAGTGCCATTCTGCACTGTGGATTTATAAAGTGGTTCTTTAATTCCTGGATTAAAGAATGTTCCTCAGTAAAGTCCAATTTAAAGGCAGCTTTTGAAACACCTGTCTCTGAGCCATCCTGTCTTCACTCCAAGATAATAGGGCCAAGAGGAATTTTGTTTGTGCTTCTTGCTGCACAGAAATCCTTCATTCAAGCATTTTCTATAATTGAAAAGGCCACAGTGGTTCCAGCTTCCACCATGTGAATATTTATTGGTTTTATTCCTCCTCTAAATTGTTGGGTGTAGGACTAATCTTCAGACATTTGGAGAAATCCCCTTGGATTCTGGAAAATTGCGATGGCCACTTGTCAGTATGCTTTTCTGTTTTTTTACTAAATTACAAAACAATTAATTGGAAAACTGAAACAAAGTGATCGGTAGGAGCAACCTATGGCAATTTAAAGCCTTTCAAGATTAAAGTTTGAAATTTAAAAATTGCTGTTGTCTCTATACTTTGTGCTTGTTATAGATGCTGTTGCCTAGCAGCACGGAGATTGCCAGCCCATCGTGGACAACCCTTACACAAAAACATACAGCTACATCTGAGGCAAGACTGTCACCTGTCTGAGTGTGTCTTCAACATCAATATTGTCTTTAACTATGGCAACTTTCATCTACTATCTATTGTGGTTTCTGTTATTATTTTCCAACTGGGCCTTTGGAAAACAAGGATTTAATTGTCCATTATTATAGTGTATATAGCAAATTCTTATAATTCTGTGTCTCTCTTCGGATGACAGCTGACAACAGTCCCTGTAAGAACTTCATCTGTAAGTGTAACAGGAAAGCTGCCATGTGCTTTGCCAGCGCAGATTATAATGAAAGAAACGCTGGCCTTCCCAGTGACCACTGCAAGTCGGCTGAGTGATGCAGGGATGCACAGTGAAACTCACCAGCACTTAGGATTGTGTAAATACTGTAGCTATTTCCATGAAATTTTGTGCAGAGGTGAAGCATGACTTAAGGAAGAACTCATTTAATTTCCAAGGGACCTTAAGGAGCTTTACATGTTTTGGTGGTAAAGTAGCCAATCAGCCTAGGTGGAGGTAAGCACCCTCTGAATACCCTTCTAATGTGTTTGCCTGTCTTATTTAGAAGGATTAAGTAAATATTACAGCAAAAATTGGTGTGTTGTGTGTTTCTGTGCACAGGTTCTTTAGCTGCCAAGCTCATCAACAGGTTTGCCAGAGCCTCCTTGCCCACAGTAGCAAGTTTAGGGTACATATTATTGTATTTGAGTCCCATTTTGTTTTGGGGTTATTTTCAGATTTCTTCTTACAGTTATTGATATAGTTAAGAGTGACGGCAAAATAGGTTTACGAAATAAAATAGAGGACAACTAAACCTCACCAGCTCCTCCTTCTGCTCGACATTGCTCCTTGGCTTTGCTCCAGGTCACGGCCATGGTGGACAGCAGGTAGCAGCTTCTCTCGAAAGATGCCTGTCCATTCCAACATGTTCCTGGTTTGATGAAGATTGAGTAGAGTCAGATTGTCTTTGTGAAATAAACCCCCACTGAATTTGACTGATATTGCAGTATTTCGTTTTTACCTCTAACTCTCACCAAATGTGATTTGCGGATTAACCAGGTAGAATGAACACCGTTTTCTCTCTCTGCACACAACATCCAGCACACAAACAATACAAAGTGACAGTATATAACTGTTTGAGGAGTAATGGCGAGGAATAATTCTGAAGGAACTCCGGCACTAGTTTGAACTATTATGAGAGTTTGTGTCTGTAGTTCTCAGCCTCGCCGCTGGGGGGTAGCAGAGCTGTCGAGCCTGTCCTCCACGTGACACTCACATACAAACCTCTTCCGGTCGCACGGCTCTCAGAGAGGAAAATGGCGGCCCTGGGACGCGTCTACAAAGCCGTGCTGAGGTCTTCTTCGACCCAGACCCGGCGTCAGCTTTCTGCGTCTGCCGGCGATGGACATGGCGCTTTAGGTAACTATAGCAACCCGTTAAAAGTGGTCTCTCGTGGAATTGATCTCGTGTTGTGACGGTGACCTTGCCGGGCTAACGTTAGCTGTGTGAGCATTAGCTTAACATCCTTGAGCGGGTATCTGCCAAAGGCATCCACTGTGTAACGTGGGGTCTGTTTTCATTCCAGCATCCACGTTTAAAGACTAAACGTAACAGTTGACTGTTATATATTTATTGACTTGGCTTTGTAACGCCACAGTGTTAGGAACAGCACGTCCGGTTAGTTCAAGAGCAACTGCAGCCATGTCTATGGCTCTGATGTCACCTAGGAATGGTGTAGTATCTAATAACTGTAATAAATAACACGTAGTTCACACAACTACTGGAAAAAGTAAGAGGTAAGAATTCTGCTCAACATACGAGTAAACACTGTGGAGAGGAAAACCACGTCGGTATCATCAGGAGTCACTGTCATTAAAACAAACGAAGTGTATAATCGTCATGTTTTATTTCTCAGTTTATAAAATTTTTAAATGAGAAAGAACAATAAGTAGAGGTAAACTGAAAGGACTGTTTGTATGATTACTTTCGAATCTGAACGTGATAATTTTACTCTTGTTCAAACTAATAACATGCAGGAAGTGACAAACTCATGAATCTTAAAGACAAATCAAAAGGGTTTAACAGTCTCCTTATTCACCAGCACGCTGAGGTGCCGTGGTATGACCTCAAATTAAACTGTCTTATATGTGTTTTAAGTAGTTTTTTGTGGAAACTCGATCAAGTCTTGATCAGAGGGCAACCAGCTGCATGCAAACAATGATGTCAGCATTTGCTTTAAAGGACACCCTGGCTGTGTCTCGATTCAGGGTCTGCATCCTTCAGAGGTTAAATCTTAAGACCGATTGCACGCAAAGGAAGCAGTCTTTGTGGTCAGCCAAATTAAATTCAAGTTATTATTACTATTTATCATGTATAGTTGCAAATATTCTGTTGGCATTTGCTTGTAGTATTCCACATTTTCACATTGCTCATCTGATGCTCTTCATTTCTTTGTTTGTTAAATGTATCATTGTGTTTCTCTTCTAGCTGAGAAATGGAGGATGCTCAGTTTCCTGATTGCTGTTCCTGGTGTTGCGGTGTGCATGTTGAACACATTCCTGAAACAGCAGCACCATAGCGAGGAACACCCGGAATTCATCCCTTACTCCCACCTTCGCATTCGCACCAAGGTCTTGACTTTGTTCTTCAAGTAATTCACGTTTTAAAATGTCTGTCTCAAATGCCACATCCCAATTTGTATTCAATTATATGTTGTCTGATTGTTTTTATCCCCACAGGCCTTTCCTTGGGGAGATGGCAAGAAAAGCCTTTTTCACAACCCCCATGTGAATGCCCTTCCTGATGGCTATGAGGATGATCATGAATGAAGCTTCCCTCCAGATCTCACAACAGGGACCAGTCCCTCAGCATTTGTTACTGGACCACACACATTCAGTTTACTTTTGTTTGTTTTTTCTGCTATACCTCTTTGCTCTCAACATTGGGCATCCAAACCAACACTTTGGTTTTATCTGGACCATTAAACAAAATGTCCACTTGAACTGAATTAACTTAAATAAATAAAGTAACAATTATTACCTAATTTTCATGGTTTGTCTTTTTGTCAATGTGATGTTGTTTGTATTCAAGGTTTTTCAATTACTGAGTAAGCTTGAATATCCACATATGTAAATAATAAAACTACTAAATTTAATTTATTTGCTTCATTTTTGCCGTTGTGGTATTGTCCATGCAGACTGATGGCTCATACAGGAAGAGATATAATAATTGAGCCAATGTTAGTGTTATAAACAACTGTGCTTTCTCTGCTCTGAGTCAAAATATCTGCTGTGAAAATAAGCCTGGGCACTAGTGTATGGCTCAACAGGAATAACTACAGTATAACATTAGCTATCATCGGATGATGAATTAGCCTCTGGGGTCAATTGCCAATATTATGTGGCCTCTAGTGCAAACAGTGGATATCTGAGCAAAGACTTTACACTGTTTACAGCCACACTAGTTTCTTTTATCACGCAAGTCAAACACTTCCTCACACGAAATATGAACAGTAATAACTTTTTGTAGGTGTCCAGATGCAATTTTTGGCTAATTGCTATTAACAGCTATTTGCATATGAATGCACAAAACACTGAGCCTGATGCCTTTCTGTCAATGTGTTTTATGCTCTCTGGCTCTCCATGCGGATTGTTTATCTGCGGGCAACAAAAGCGTGCTCAAATGTGATAGGTCAAATGAGAAATGGAAACCAGAAGGCTCCTGATCCCCAAATCTTGTCCCTTGCTTCCAAATTACACATTCACATGCAGAATCTGTTTATAGACATTCAACCAAATACTACTGAAATAAACTGAAACAGATATTTATTGGCATAATGCAAAAAAAACAAGTTAATTAAGTGGAAAGCACCACACATCAGATATTGTGCGTTGACATTGAAGACAAAATTTGGGTGTTTCCTGTTGAATTGTTTAGTTGTGTCCTTATCTGTTTCCCCCCCACAATAATTCAATTCTTTTGCAGCAAATTCCACAGGTGGACCATGTTTTTTCTTTTTTAATATGAGAAAAAAGACATCAAAGTCAGCAAAGTTGAGGACAAAGGTGATCGGGTCTTTCCTGTCAGGGCTCCATCTGTGTGGAACAATCTCCCCTCTTTCCTCATCTGTAACTTAAACATATTGCTGTGTGATCTTAATGATTCTCCTTATTGTTTGCTTTTTCTAACTGTCTCCTCTTGTTTGCCTTCAATGTTTTATTTTTAACTCGTAAAGCACCTCGTACCAACGTTTTGAAAGGCGCTATATTAATACGGTTTATTCTGTTGTTGATATATTTAGTGGTAAAGAATGAAATCTAGCGTCATTAGATTTATAACGGAGTCAGTGTTGTAGTTCTCGTGGTGCATCTGTTTATCTTGTCTGCTTCGGAACTGTTACGTGTGACTCGCGCTGAGCTACAGACTCCACCTCCTTCACGTGAACGCGCCATTAGCCGAATTAGAAAATCCTGGGTTAACAAAGCTCCCCGATTAAACCGATATCCCGCTTCTTGACACCGGCTACCCCCCTCCCGGCTCCGGAGCTTCGACAGCCCTCAGTGTAGTGGTGCATCTCGTTCCATGCTGTCGCGTCGATTCAGCTCGGGCTTGTTTGGTTTCTCCACCGCGGATCAGGATTTGATCATTCAATCCAGCACTGAAACATCTCGGATAACTGCGCGCTCCCGCTTCGCTATACAGGGGATACCAATCGCACGTCGAAACCCGGATCGCAGGTCATGAACATGAGCACGATCGGAGGTGAGGAGACCTTATTCCAGATCCAAGAACGTTATAAACTACACACAAACAACAGTGGACTTATATGTACATTTTATATATTTGTTTCTATAGTTCCAGATTTCCATATGATGAAAAAACACGAGAGGGCACATTTCTTCAGCTCCAAGGAGCAGGAGCTGATTTTGAAGTTGTATGAAGAAGAGAGGGAGATACTGACAGCTAAATCCAACACCACCAGCGCCTCCAAGCTGAGAGAGGAGGCCTGGCAGAGAATTGCTGATAAAATAAACGTGTAAGAACAATGTCACCAGTTTAATTCAATTCATTATAGAAGTCAACCCCTCCCAACCCTTGCATTCAAAATAAAAATGTTCTTTATGATTCACAGGGTGTCGGACAGTGGCTACAAAAGGACATGGCAGCAAGTCAAGATTAAACACAAAAACATTGTACAATCAGGTAATATTGCAAACAATGGTGGAGCATTTACTCAAGCATTGGATGTTGGAGACACCATCTCAGCATTTTAAGTGAAACTCAAAATGTTCGTTTTTGATCAAGTCTATAGTTAGTGCTGGATCAGGTGAGTCCTGAACCATCACTTAGTTATGCTGCTATAGGTCTAGACTGCTGGGGGAACTCCCATCATGCACTGAGCACTTCTCCACTTCTCTCTGTCTCTCTGCCCCCCCACACTCATTTATTTATTTTCATACATGTCAATAACTATGTCACTTTTTTCTCCCATAGTCCCTCTCTCTCTTTCTCTATCTCATTGCAGATATCTCTGACCCGGGACCTGCAGGACAACAACTATTATTAACAACAACACTTCTGTAATTAATTATTATATGAACTGTGACTGTTATCATCATTAATCAATAACTCTTTACACTGTTATTGTTTACATTTTAACTAGTCAGATCTGATACCTGATGGTGCACAAGTGTTCTCGGTCTCTCTCGCCTCTCTCTCTCCCCCTCCTCCCCCTCCCCATTATCTCTCTCTCTTCTCTCCCCTCTTTTCCACCCATCTCTCCTCTCCACCCCTTTTTTCTTTGCTCACCCCCACCGGTCGAGGCAGATGACCGCCCACATTGAGTCTGGTTCTAGAGGTTTCTCCCTGTTAATGAGGGAGTTTTTCCTCTCCACAGCCGCCAAATTGCTGCTCATTGTGGTAACTGTTGGGTTTCTCTATTTTAATAAAATTTTAAGGTCTTGACCTTCTATGTAAAGTGCCTTGAGATAATGTATATTATGATTCGGCGCTATACAAATAAAATTTGAATTGAATATTTTTACATTGATATTGTACTTTCAAGTCAAATATTATAATTAAACATGCTAGTTATTTTTCATGATAAGCAAAATATAATTTCTCAGAATATAATGTACTGTTATAGACTACCCAACATTGTAAAAATCTATTAAATTAGTCCCTCCTCCACCTAGTCTACTGAACCATTATATTGCTCCTTCCACATCGATGGATCAGCACCATTGACCCTGTATCACAATGTAGCTTTGTGCCACTCTGTTGCATGATGGCCATGTGTTATGACTAAGTTTACATTTTCTAGCACTTAAATGTCTGGCCGAATGTTTTACCTTACGGATTTATCTTCCTGCAGCAAAAAGAAGAAGGGTTGAGCTGATGCGGAATCATCAGGAGGATTCAGCGACCCTGTCACTGACCTCTGCTGAGGATGATATGCTGCAGCACAAAGACAACAGACTGAGAGTTGAGGTCTTCCCTGGGGCTGCCTGTATTGACCCACTGACTGGATCTGACAGCTCTTTTATTAGCAGTAGGTGTAGTTCTCCTCATAAAAACCTTTGTGGAATCTTTCACATAGCTTTATTTAATATTGGCCCCCTCTGCTACAGTGTCAGGCCATCCTGTGCTCCTACTGCCTGTTACAAAGACTGAACCAGAGAGCTTGAGCAGTGATGAGACAGACATCAGTGATGCACATTTTGAGGAGGTAAATGCTTCTAAAAGGTGCATTTTTTAGCCATTTGTGTCTTACTGCTTAACATATGGACTCCTTTTTCTGGTAGGACTTGCATAGTAGCAGCTTTCAGGAAAGGTCCAACTCAGCATGTGCTACAAGGGGTGGCCGAGATGCAGAGGTGAATTAAATGTGTCAGTAGTGGGGCAAAGGAAATATGACATTGTGGTCACATGTGTTTTTTTAAATTTCTTTTGCAGAGGCAGACAGAAGACATAAGGGCCCTTTACTGCAGCTACCTCAAAAAAGAGATGGAGAACCGTGACCAACAGATGGCATACAGAGCACTTAAAATGAGGAAGTTGGAAAAAGAAATATTATTACTTGATAAGCAGCTGGGGTGACAATGTAAAGAAATGCAAGTGGTTTTATCCTATTATTATAATATTAGTTCAGATGTTATCAATAAATTACTTCAGTGTCATAATATACAACACAGTTACAACTTTGGCAGCAATATCTGTTTTCTGACAACTTGACAAATTTGGTTGGTGAGGTTTCCAACATGACAGACCCTTCCTTATTGTTGAAATATTGCACTTCTAAGTGTACACATACAGCAGCAAGTCAGGTATCTATTTCAATCCTCAGACTGAGGCTGTGTTGAAATGTTTTCTTTAACTACCCAAAGATCATATCAATCCGAGCACTGTCTTTGTAGGTGTTGGCCCAAAGTGGGCTTGAAGTCCATTTAGGGTTCAGGGAAGGGTCATAACTGAAGACTTCTAAACGGAGCCACTGTGGAGCTGCAGCATAACTCTGTGGCCCAAGAAGACTCATCATTATAAACTGAAGAGCACTGACACACCTTTGGTCATGTTGTGTCATGGACTTGAAGCAGCAAAAAAAACAATGTTCATCTATACAAATAAACCTGAGCTGAGGTTCTGATAATCCTGTGCTGCTGTCATCTTCATTTATTGCTTATTTTAGAGGCCTTTTTCATACAGTCAGTATAGTTTGGGCTAGCTAACTTGTTTTTGTTGCATTCAGCATAGACTACTTCAACCTTTCGCATTAGCGATAGCATTACTGCTCTAAGGAATGACACTATGCTGCCTGTACATTTATGCTGCAGAGGATCTGTCTTTTATTATGAATACTTGTGATTTGCTGTTCTATTTGTTAAAATTTTGTATGTACTGACTTCAGTACAGAATAGTTAGTAAAATGTTAAACATGGTGATGTGATAGTTCTCTTTGTTAAATGTTTGTAATATTATCCAGAAAGTGCTTAAAGAGATACTGGACACTTAAATGTTTTGTTGAGTTATAAGATAGTTTATATGACTTTTCTTTGATGAAACATATTAATGCTGGTTTTAATATCACATTTATTACCATATTGCCAAATCTACATATATGGATTGAACATGGCCCATAATGCCACCTAGCATTTCAAACTGTCTTAGACCATCTTGTTCCTCGTTGGACCGGCATCTCTACATCAAATGTAAATGTTTTAAGTTATTGACAAGAACAACAATTATAGCTAAAACAGATTGTGTTTTTTTCATTTGTATAGTATTTTTTAGGGGGTATAGGTAGGCCTGTCTTAGCCTCGCCTCCCAGCACTGCGCTCTTTTGCAACATTTTTTTTTTAATTTCCTGGGTGAAGACATCTCAGCCTAAACTTAGGGGTGACTATTTCGAATGGTGTTGGATATCCTTGGTAAGATTAGTATATTATAAATCCTAAATACAAAGGTAGAGCAATAAGAGATGCCCTTTCTTTATAAATAGATGTCATGTAGCATGTTGTCAATCACTCTTACATCCTGTGTCACTGTAAGGTGGCAAATTCCAAGCACTCTGTAATTCAAACTTTAGTATAAACTGTGTTGATTCCAATTAACATTCAATGCTGTAAAACAATTAATCATCATAACATTCACATTCAATATAGTTAATGGATATGATGTGAAATACACAATGAAATGCTAAAAAGTTGTTCATCATCGGTGCACATTCGAGAGAGGTTCAATTCAGTAAAAAAATCCTATTTATTTAGAGAAAGAGAGAGGGACTGTGAGAGAAAAAATGTGATATAATTATTGACATGTATGAATGAATGTGAGAGAAGTGGAGAGGTGCTCAGTGCATGATGGGAGTTCCCCCAGCAGTCTAGACCTATAGCAGCATAACTAAGGGATGGTTCAGGACTCACCTGATCCAGAACTAACTGTAGGCTTTATCAAAAAGGAACATTTTTAGTTTGACCTTACATGCAGAGATGGTGTCTGCCTTCCGAACGCAGAGTGGGTGCTTGTTCCACAGGAGAGGAGCCTGGTAGCTGAATGCTCTACCTCCTGTTCTACTCTTACTGACTCTTGGAACCACAGAGCCTGTATTTTAGGAACAACACTGTACAAGTAGAAAGTACAGATATTTGTGTAAAATGTAGGCAGTAAAAGTAAAAGGTTGTCAGGAAAATAAATACTCAAGTAAAGTACAGATACTTCAAACATCTATTTAAGTACAGTAACAAAGTATTTGTACTTCGTTACTTCCCACCTCTGGTTTTCAAGAACTTAAATATCTCTCTGAAAAATGCAAATGGCATTAAAGTTGCCACAGTCACTATAAGGCTATATTTTTGATGAGGCTACAGGACTGGCATATTGTGTGTTATGTTGTTTTTGTTGAGTCTGGTTTCAGTTTGTTTAACACCTTACCAGATGTGGCTGTTACTCTCTTCCAGGTAATGTTGCTCCAGCTTCGGTAGAATGCAGGCATGTTCCCCCAAAAGGGGGCACAGTTTTTTTCTTTCTTGGCACGATACCTGCAGCAACAGGACACTGTATGGATGTCCTTCAGTGACTCTGCAGCGCACCATTCTCTGCACTCTTTGACAGTTGGGCACAGATGTTTGGACAATTTCTAACTAGAAAATGCTTCTCCTTTTCCCATGAATTTTAATTAATTGAAAACTACTGAAAAAGCTGAATATTTAAAGTTCTTTTTTAATCTCAGGTTGTTGTACTTGAGAGCAAATGTGCATGGGTATGTGTGTACATATGTATGACATCACCAATTCAATAATGGTATGTGGTCTCTAGTTATACAAATAAATGAATGTCTATCATCAATACATGTTACTGACTTGACTTCTTCCCCGGAGTCCCTGTGCATTATCATTTGCAGATCCAGGGCCATGACTGCGGCCACATTGTGGATTATGATGGTGGATCGCGAATCAGAGATGATCATAATGGCGGATCCTGTATCGTGCTGGCTGATCGTGATGTAATGGTGGATCCTGTATCGTGCTGGCATCTGGTCATACTGGTGGACCATGATTAAGGTGGCAGCTGATGGTGGCAGCCGATGGTAGATCCAGATGGCAATGGATCATGATAATGGACTAAAATGGCGTATCCTGATTGTGATGGCAGCTGATCGTGGACTATGACTACAACAAGACTGCTTGCTATACAATATGTCTACTCAGATATTATACCGAAACTTGATTGATTGACTGATACACTGCTGCTGTTAATACAGTGTATGAGAGTGAGTACAATAGAGATAAAGGGGCCTGAAAATAGAAAAAGATCCAAATCAAAGGATGAGGCAAAAAAAGAATCACTTCACGTGTTATATAGCCTATGTTTTAATAATCCAAAACTGCAGGATTATTTAATTCAGAGACAGCTGTGATGTCCCCAATATATAGAATTTAAGAGAATTATGACCCTTTGTTTTTACTAGAATTATTCTTCCCTCTTTTTCTTCAAATTGAAATGCCTTTTTGGGTGCCTTAACATAGTTAAAAACTCACCAAATTGTGCAGGTGGGTCAGGTCTGGCGAAAATGTACGTATTTTGTGTTTGGGAACGTTCATCCAAAAATGGCTCAATAGCGCCCCCCATACATTTTGATTAGGGTCTTCCTATTCATTTACTTAGAGTAATGAGAATCGGCACATATGTGTATCATGCCCAGCCATACAAAAATTATCTTGAAACTCTTCCCCACACTGAAAAGAATTTTGGATTGAAAATTATATTTGGCTCGATTTTGGGCATTTTCACACGAATTTCATATTCGTACTTCTCCTACAGATTTCATGCGATTGACTTCATATTGGATTTATGTCATGTCAGCGACTTTCTGATTTAAAGTTATATAAACCGTGAGTTTTCATAAAGGGGCGTGGCTGTGGCGTGGCGGCAAATTTTGATGATTCACTAGAAAACAATAAGTTCTCATAACTTCCATGTATATTGTCCAATCTGCCTCAAACCACATATGTACAACAAAGGTACCGCCCTCAACAGCTCTTATTGATAATATTCAATAACAGTCATAGTGCCCCCTACCTGTAACAGGAAATGTCATGTTTTACATTTAAGTGTCCTGCTTCTAGCCCGTTCAGCCTATGCATGTGAAATTTGGTCAGGAGAGCCTAACTTGTAACTTTTCATCAGGGGGCGTGTCCTTGGCATGGCGGCGAATGTCGATGATTCGCAAAGAGCCTTCAAGTAGCTGTAACTTCCATGCCCTGAAGAGTTCTATATGCAAATATATTTTATGCTTGTGTTTCTACTCGGATGGTTCAGTTCCGTCAGTCAATCTAATACTGGACTCAGTTCAGCATAAAGATCAGGGATCACAGATCTATAGAATCTGTATCAGCTGATCAGTCATGGCTGAACCCTCGTTTTCTTCTAACTTCCATTTGCGTGCATCCATCACGCAGCATTACACACGAATGTCTTCGCAGTATTTATTTATTTAGAGCAATCTGACTGACTGTGGATCGTAACCTCCACTCTGGGATATTTTTTGAAACTATAAGTTTGAAAGTACATTTTAATTTTTTTTATTTTTGTGAGTGATCTCCAGTGCGCTGTGCGATGGATCCTGGTGGCACTTTCACTGTGGCAATTTTACACACACTCATCCTTAATGATACATGCACAGTGTTAAAAGATATGATTAAAACTATTAATGACTTGGCTCTGCAACTCTGCTGTTTAATGGTATCTGAACTTAATTTGCTGTAAGCTGTTTTATATCTTTTGAAATTGAAGGCTCTTATGGAACAGTTACATCGCGCGAGCACAGCTAAAGCTATTACTTTGAATGGAAATGATGACGTGGATCAATAATCTGCTTCAGTTCATCTCCTCAGGTCTGCAATGCCACTTTCCCGTCTCCAAAATGTTTATACGCATGGGTCAGAGTTTGCGTGGAAATGTGCACATTTTTCTGTCAAGTTTGTTTTTATAAATCCAAACGTTTGCGTGAGAAGTGGTATACGCACATTTCAGGCCCCATTTTGTGAATACACAACAGTTATATGATCTTTTTGATTGTAGTTGGATATAGCCAGTGACTGCTAAATACAGGTTAGCTGACAAAAAGGGTGATGGTGAGGAATGACAGCTGACTGGAAAGAGAAGACCCCATGGGGGCTGGCATGGGTTAGCTACACAAGTCAGCCTGAGGACCTTGAAACAGGCCAGAGAAGAGCACCCTGAAAATACACAGTCTGATCCAAAGAGGCATGAACTGAGACCATCAAATGGATGTGAACCCTTGGAAATGAAAGGAAGTGGAAAACACATTGAGGCGGCTGAGAGTGCCATCAGACCCAGGCCCGAACAGTGTCCCATATAGGGTATATGAAAATGCTTCTGATTGTTTAGGAATTTATGAGCATCCTCACACAGTACATCTGTACGCCATTCACAGACACTCCCTTCTCTCCAAGCAATACCCACGGTCAGGTTATAGATAAAGGGCCAACCAGCAGTAGATTGTACTGTCTACGTTGAGGGAATTTCATATCTAACTCAGATGCCCCAGACAGAGACACACCAACTCTGCCTCTTTTGCATATTTCACCAGTGGCAAGACAAAAGGACAAAACATGATTTAGGAATGTTATCTTTAGTCTCAACGATCTAAAAGGATGTGAATACTACATGGAACATAAAGAGTGACAGCGATTGTACCCTTTCTTTGATATGCTGTCGTAATGGGTGATGCAAGTATTGTGAGATCTATGGGAATGCTGTGGGAGACATCTGACAGACTTGGGGGTGACAAATGCTTATGATACTCTGTTAGTGTTTGTA